AGAGTCACGTTTGTAGTGTTTTTCGGTGTGTTTGGAGAAAAAGGGACCAAGCGAGCAAGTAATTCTCCAACCGTTGCAATGACTCCTTCAATCTGGAACTGATACACGTTCTGTTTTCATTTTTCCATGGTGAGGGGATAGTAAATAGAGCGCCGAATCCTCTTCCAAAACCTCTGCCTTTGCCCTCAGCGTAATCAAACTCAAGACGCTAACGAAGCTTCACAGGGAAAACAAGAGGAGGATTCTTCAAAACGAGACCAAGAAAACGCGCGGCTCTTCCTAATCCTGTCTATTGTTACGACCACATCTGAAGGCGCTGACGTGGGTGGTTAGACTAGCGGTTAAAGATCTGGGCTGGAAACCAAAAAAAGGTTGCAGGTTCAAATCTCGCCTTGAGCAAAACTCTTAAAGTGACAGTACACCCTAAAATTAAACGTTTGTCATCATTTACTCAGGATTCTGAAATGCTTAAACGACAGGTCAGTTTCACTTCCCGTCACAAAGCGATGTAATAATCTAACACATTTGCATAATGCCCGTGTCTGGTCTTGATTGGCTGAGCAGCGTCTCTTAGCTCCGCCCTCAAACACTCTAGTGTATCCGAGACGGTGTCGTTCGTGTCGCTGTTTTCTGCTGACAAAGCAAATCCACTTTGATGAGATTGAACCAAGCGGTAAACTTCCAGTCTCTCTCTTTGAAAACATCTCTGAAGTGAGTTAAACTGCAGTTCATCTACTGGCCACTAGAGGCCGGCTGCAGAAGAGAGTCAATCCCATAGACCCGCATGTTAAAATGGCCAACTTTACAGCAGAATAAAACATGTTTACAGCCTGGTGGAAAAACTGGTTTTGGTCTATATCGCTAATTTTGCCCTTCATGATGAATTATTTTATAACTCATCCGTTTAAATTATATTAAGCATTAAAGTTCTGCATAATTAAGGGCGTGGCCACTTTAGTGACAGGTGGATCTCCGGTGATGTCACTACTACTATGTCACTCGCCTCTTTCCTCATTTTCATTTATCCAGGAGTGACGCGTTTCTAAGATGGCGACGGCTGGCTCCGCCCACTTTGAAGTTCAAAAATGCTCTTCAGAAACAAGCCTGAGACGTAACAGAAAACCAACGCCATCGTAAAACCAACGCCATCGTTACATCACTGTGTATCAAGAGCAGATTCAGATTTGATAATGAGGTTTTGGTTTCTGACCAATCACAGCAGATTGGGTCATCTGACCAATCAGAGCAGAGCATCTCTCAGAGAGGCGGAGCTTAGAGGGACTGAATCTTCGAACAAACCATTTCAGACACTGAGAGAAAAGAGCTGATTCTGTAATGTGTATTATGAGAAAATTAAAGTGTTTTTTGACCTTGAATGCATTTAAACCTGTTGTAGGAGACTCTACATCAACATTAGGAACATTTTAAATATAAGGATGATAAAATATGATAATATAAAGGATGGCATTGGCAGTTTCGGTCTGCTGATTGCATGTGGCACTGGGAGGTAAAACCAGGAAAACCTCCTCCATTAAGTGCTTAGTTTAATCCACTTACAGACGGCAAGCCATTGATAAAAGCAAAATTCATCTGAGCATTAAAAACGACCCTTCAGGAATAATATCTTAATGAACCACACACTCTCTGACCGAGACTAACCTCTGCCGAGCGGGACTGTCACACACACACTTCATTCACATATATGAGCATAGTGCATGAAATAAAGGTTTTATTGTACCATTTAGACACACTCTTATTGTCCTCCCAGAACAATCCATTGCTTTTATAACAAAAACACACACACACACTCAAACTGACTTTAACCATCGCTCCACATCTCATGCTGTTCTCTTCACACAAGTGTTGTCCAAAAATTAGACACCCAAGACCGTCTTATGTAACGTCCCCTAAGAAATCTGTTCAATCGTGATCAATCATAACTACACATAACTTGCTTCATAACGTTCACTCAAGCAACCTCAGAACTAGCGGATCTTGTTCCTGATTTCAATGCTAATTCAGAAGACGTCGAGTTTTTCCTTTAAAGTGTCTCGAGTCTGTGTCTCCGGTGTTTTTAGTATCATTAAGATACTATTACAGGTTTTATTAATATATTGAATTAGTACTTATTGTAAAAGGTTCCATTATTATTTTAGTTTTTAAAATAAAAAAAACTTTATTTAAAGTTTTAGTAATTTTCTCTGTTTTGTCTCTAATATGTCTATTAAGTTTTTATTTCAAGTCAACGGAAAAAATGAGAAATGTTTAAATACTGTACTGTACTGTATACTGTATGTCTTTTATATTTACATAATATATACACTCTCAAAAATGCTGGGTTGTTTCAAACCAAATTTGGGTCAAATATGGACAAACCCAAATGTATTAAAATGTAATTTAAAATTTTAACCCAACTTCAACTTTCACTTTCAATTATATATATATATATATACTGTATATATATATATATATATATATATATATATATATATATATAATTAAATTAATTGTTCAGAATATATGTTTAAAAAACTAAATTAGTTTTTTCATGGTTTAAGTTTTCGTTAATAACCCTGATCTAATTGAATGAGTATTTATATGTATATTTTCATTTTAGTTTAAATTTTAGTATATTTGTAATTTTATTTTTATATATCTGATTATTATTATATATCTTTAAATGCGTTTTAGTTTATTTTAGCACAAGTTAAACTATGTGAAAATGAGAAATGCTTAAATAAAACAAGTCTTTTATATTTTATATCTGATTTAATTGGTTCTTATTTGTATATTTTCATTTTTTTTTTTTTTTTTATTTTTTTGTCATTTTTATTTGTTTTTGTTTTTTAAACATGTCTATACAGTTTTTATTGTTTCATTTCTGTTTTGGTTTCTTAGCAACTAAGTAAAATGAGAAATGTTTAAATAAATGTTATTTCAGTTAATATTTTAATCAAATATAGATAATCATTTATTTGTATACTTTTATTTGATTTTTTGGTTTCAGTTTATTGTATTACAACAAATTAAACTAAATAAAAATGAGAAATGTTTAAATAAAATAAAAAAATATATATTTTATTATTTCAGCTTATTTAATTTTAAGGAACAGAAATATGATGTTATTTTTTCATGGTTTTAGTTTTATTAATGATTTTTAATGTGATTTATACTGTGATGTGATTTCCCCTGCGGTCAGGTCACATGACCGTGAGCATCATGTGACCTGGATCCGACGCTGTTCCTCCAGGACAATGACATTGTTGTTTTGAGTCATTGCTCTGGCGTTTTGGCTTCATGTTTGAGGGCATCGACTTGCTGGAAAGCAAATCTTTCCCAAACCGCAGGTGCAGAATCCATCAGGATTCCCTCATGCTTCATTCAGCCGAGATATCCTGTGACATGTTATTAATAATGACTTTCTCTTCAACTACATAACCCAATCTCAATCTTTCAATCTGATGTTGGTCACACTCTTCACGGTGGAAGTTCAGGCCAAAATACTGACTATCCAAAAGTGGAGCCTTCCAGTGTTGTGTTTATTGAACGATCATCCCGAATCCCTGGACTCACACACAGGAGATCTCCGCTTTCCTTCTCATGTAACCTGTGGAGCGGCTGAGCGTCTCAGACATTAGAGACACTCTCTTACACAGAAGCTAAAAGTATCTGTCTATCTATCTATCTATCTATCTATCTATCTATCTATCTATCTATCTATCTATCTATCTATCTATCTATCTATCCATCTATCCATCTATCCATCCATCCTCCATCTATCACTCAATCCATCCGTCTATTTATCCTCCATCCTATCTATCCATCCGTCCGTCCTTCCTTCCTTCCATCCATCCATCCATCCATCCATCCATCCATCCATCCATCCATCCATCTATCTATCTATCCATCCATCTATCCATTCATCCATCCATATATGTATCCATACATCCATATATCCATCTATGCATTAATTTATATATCTATCCATCCTGCCATCCATATATCTATCCATCCATCCATATATCTATCTATCTATCCATCCATTCATCCATCTATCCATATATCTATCCATCCATCCATCCATCCATCCATCCATCCATATATCTATCCATAAATTCATCCATCCATCTATATATCTATCCATCCATTCATCCATATATCTATCTATCCATCCATCTATCCATATATCTATCCATCCATCCATCCATCCATCTATATATCTATCCATCCATCCGTCCATCAATCCATCCATCTGTCCATATATCCATATATCAATCCATTCATCCATCCATCCATCCGTATGGGCTTTAAAATTGAAGTTTCAAAACTACAAAGTTCTTCAAACTTTAAAGGGTTAGTTAGTTAAAGGGTTACGTCAAAACGTAGGCTCACTATTGGCCGACGCTGGTCATGTGTGTGTGATGTGTGTGATGCTGGCCAATAGTGAGCCTGCGTGTGACGTACAGAAGCGCTGCACTGTTACACTACATGAACTCACTCGAGGCCCACAGAGAAGAACATGAAGAGTTGAAGAAAGTCAATAGTTTTGTTTGTTTTTTTGCGCACAGAAAGTATTCTCGTCGCTTGATAATCTCAAGGTTGAGCCGCTGTCGTCACTCGGACTATTTTAACGATGTCTTTAATAACTTTCGAGGCCGGCAAGTTTCATTTACAGAAGCCTATTGAGGAGTGATCTAGCTCTCAGATTTAATCAGAAATATCTTAATTTGTGTTCAGAAGATGAACGAAAGTCTTACTAATTTCCTTTAAGCTTTTAAACTTCAGGCTCTCTAGACAAACATGTTTACCCATTTTAAAGCGTAAAGTCGCATCATTTTGCTCCTCCAGTGAATGTAACTTGATTTAAGAATGTTTCGATATTCGCACTGGAGATTGAAACTACAGCATGTATTACGGATAAAGCTTTATGATCTCCATATAAACAAGCTAAACCTTCAAAAAGCAGAAGCAAAAGAGAGACCAGAGAAAGGCGAGCGTACCTCATAATGATAGTCCATGCATGTGAGATCCGTCCAGCAGCGGTCGCCTCGAATCTTGATCAAACCCTGGAGACGTGCAGAGGAACACACACATCAACACACATCCACAAGATCATATTTCAAAAGTTACAGCAATCAACGGCGTTTAGCTCGTATGATATTTATATACTGTAAATGACTCTTTCTGTTCACATTTGCAACAATCCTCATGCATTCAAATAAACAAACTTCACAATTACTTATACTGATAGAGAATAAACAATCTACAATAACACTTTACATCCAAACCTGATATATTCAATCATTGTATGGCTCATATTGTATGATATAGTGGAGGAACAAAAACTTGCTCAAACTGAGCAAAAAATATGAAATACATGGACAAAAAAGTAAATTTAATGTAAATCAATGAGATTTTATAACAATAAAGCAGCTAATGACATAAAATGCATATAAATATCAATATCTGCCAATAATAGTAGTAAGATGATATTTAAACACTTTTTTTTGGGTTGTTTGAACCCAAATTTGGGTCAAATATTGTTGGTTAAAAATTTACACTTGAAAATGAAAGTTGAAGTTGGGTTAATTTGAAATTTCATTTTTAACCCAACATTTGGGTTTGTCCATATTTGACCCAAATTTAATTTTTAACCCAACATTTGGGTTGTCCATATTTGACCCAAATTTCATTTTTAACCCAACATTTGGGTTTGCCCATATTTGACCCAAAGTTAATTTTAACCCAACATTTGGGTTTGTCCATATTTGACCCAAATTTCATTTTTAACCCAACATTTGGGTTTGTCCATATTTGACCCAAATTTCATTTTTAACCCAACATTTGGGTTGTCCATATTTGACCCAAAGTTAATTTTTAACCCAACATTTGGGTTTGTCCATATTTGACCCAAATTTCATTTTTAACCCAACATTTGGGTTTGTCCATATTTGACCCAAATTTCATTTTAACCCAACATTTGGGTTGTCCATATTTGACCCAAATTTCATTTTTAACCCAACATTTGGGTTTGTCCATATTTGACCCAAAGTTCATTTTTAACCCAACATTTGGGTTTGTCCATATTTGACCCAAAATTCATTTTTAACCCAACATTTGGGTTTGTCCATATTTGACCCAAATTTAATTTTTAACCCAACATTTGGGTTTGTCCATATTTGACCCAAATTTGGGTCCAAACAACCCAGCATTGCTTAGAGTGCGGTTTTATAATAAAAGCACTGTAGTTTTAAAACATATAATGCAATGCAATACAAATAACCTGTTAATCATATTTAATACTCATAATTTGGCTAATAAATGATGTATGATTATCAAGTAAACCTGCTTCAGTCCAGTTGAAATATTACTACTAATATTTATATATTTATATAGACCATTTCACAAGATGTAAACAACACTGGTCCAGAATCACTTCCTGTTTCAGTTTGTAACTATTTTCTTTATTTTACGTGTAAAGAAAACATCTTAAAGATGTTTGTTTAACTTTTTGATTCAGTTTTAAATGTTCTGTTGGTTGTGTTTTATTCCAGCTTTTATGTAGTGTTAAAAAACTCAAACAGGAAGTGCTTCTGGACCAGTGTTGTTTACATCTTGTGAAATGGTCTTTAAAGTGTGCTGAATAATTACTAATAAGTTGTGTTTACTAAAATCAGTTTATTAAGTGTATTCCTACACAAACAATCCGAATAAATGAGTTTTATACATTTCAGAACAAGTTATACAGGAGACATGAGAGTAAAATGCTGGATTGTTTTAACCCAACTTTGGGTCAAATATGGACAAACCCAAACGTTGGGTTAAAAATGTGATTAAAACATGTAACAATGGTTGGGTTTGTCCATATTTGACCCAAAGTTGGGTTAAAACAGCACAGAATTGTTCATTTTGGTTGACCTGTCCCTTTAAGAACTACATGATGAATGCAATCCTCCTCTCCCCATCATGTGTATTAATACTGGCAGATTTAAACATGTTAAGTGCGGACAGCTGTTTCTCTAAATCTGCGGTGATCGGGATCTCTCTGTACCAGTTCAACCAGCAAATCCAAACACATGTAACATTTAGTGCGGGATCCATGTGGGAACAGTCGGATCATTCTCAAGCGCCGAGAAACCACTGCATCAGGAACTCGCTCTGCTTATCAAGTGCATTCTTGCATTTATGTCATTAAGGATAATATAATAAGGAACCCTGGAATGAGTATTGGCTTCCTAAAATGCGGTCGCACTAATGTGAAAATGAGCGACTCCCACCCGCATCCCACGATCAGCTGGCCAATACATGAAGCCAGCATTAAGAGCTCTGCTTTCATGACAGCCATTCACAGCGTACACGCTATTCACTTATTTGTCTAAATTACACGTGAATTAGATTAAAATGACTTTAACGTGGTAAATCGATCCCAATCGTAGTCGTTTATTCCCATTTATACGAGCCATTTGGGCTTTTAAACTGCTGTGTTTGCAGGATAATGATAACTGAGATTAAACGTGCAACAGTTAAACTGGTGTTCAGGCATTTACACTACTCATTTCAGCTCACTGGCACTCATATATCCTTAAAAATTAAATATGCAATATGACAAGATGCTTAACAAAATGGACTATTTTGGTTTCTAAATGTCTCGTTTCATCATTGGTTCAGCTCAGCGCTGAAATATACTTCTGAATCAGGGTTATTATAGATAGCTAACACCACACAAAACATGTCACTTGAATTTTAACCATAATGCACAAAAATTTATTTTATTTCAGCTAGTTAGTTGCCTAGGCAACATTTAGTTTAACGATGTACTAAAATAATGTCCATACAAATTATATATATATATGTCAAAAACATCCAAGAAAATTACTAAAACTTTTAAAATTAAAACGATACAGGAAAATATTAAAATAAAGAATGATTTAAAATATGAATACAACTATACTAGTATCTGAATGATACTAAAATTACACTGTTTTGAATGCAATGGATTAATAAAAGAAGCGATTGGAACAGTAAAGCAGATCCTGACATAAAATGCATATAAATTAGGGCTGTGCAAAAATTAATTGCGATTAATCGCATCCAAAATAAAAGTATGTGTTTACATAATATATTTGTGTGTGCTGTATATAATTATTTTGTATATATAAATACACACACATGCATGTATATATTTAAGAAAATGTGTTTTTCATATATAAAATATTTATATAATTTAGATTATGTATTTATATATATATATATATATATATATATATACAGAATTTAAGCGCAAATAATTCTTAAATACATACATGCATGCATAGGTATTTATATATACAAAATAATTATATACAGCAGCACACACAAATATATTATGTAAACACAGACTTTTATTTTGGATGCGATTAATCACAATTAATTTTTGCACAACCCCAATATAAATATCAATATAAAAAATATCAATAATTCTTTGTTTTAATGATCAACACTCTGTAGTTTTAAAACATACAATACAATGCAATACAATGATGATTTAGATAATAATGCATGCATTTTGTCTTTGTCAATCATTGCGGTTAAAGCAAAATAAAATGAGCAAAAATTCAAATTAAAATCAAAATCGGTCAGCCACCGACAAAATGCATATCTAGTGAAGAATATGTTGCATGCAGCAACTTCAGTCCCTCATAAAACAACCCAAAAAATTCGACCCAAAACTGAATGTAAATGTAGGTAATTAATGTCAGTCATGCATGAGACCAAAGTTACCCGCAGGTGCACGTGACGGGAGTCTGACCAGGCGGTTCAGATGAGCGCTCGCTTACAGTTTAAATCAAGAATCATTAACTTCTGTTCACTGCAAATCACTTGTGTAAAAGTTTAGCTGACAGGAGAGAGAGAGAGAGAGAGAGAGAGAGAGAGAGAGAGAGAGAGAGAGTTGCGCTTGCCCAAGCCTGACACAGCCGTGAGGAACGCCAGAACTCTCGCCAACCAGCCCGAAGAGGAAATGTCCAACACACACACACACACACACACAGGAGGCACATTTGGGTTAACTAAAGCAATGTTCAATGTCTCTTCCAAAACTGTGTTATGTACTCCGTGCATGAAAAATAATAACCAAATGCACCTAAAACACTCTAAAAATGCTGGGTTGTTTTAACCCAATTTTGAGTAAAATATGGACAAACCCATCACATTGGGTTAAATATGTAATTTAAAAAATGGCTGGGTTTGACCCAAAATTGGATTAAAACGAGCCAGCATTTTTAGAGTGAATGATGGAGCTCGCTGATGAACTGTAACTACTGTAGTATGAAGAATCGCTGCCAGTCGAGTCCGATCTCATGAAAGTTTGTTTCTATAGCACGAATGTCACTTCTCATGCCATTTATACGCCAAAAATAGTTTTGCGTGTATGGTACGCGTTTTTTTGCGTGCATATGATATGCACTTTTTGGCGTAAACTCTAAACCTCCCCCCTAAACTACCCCAGGGTTTTCAGTGCGTAGCATATGCTAGCAAAAAAAAAACATTTTTGGCGTAAAAATGCCATGAGAAATGACATTTGTGGTGTAGAATAGATACACGCTTTCATCATGACACTGTGTTGAACCAGTCACAGCGCTTTCCTGAAACCGCAGTCACATGGTCACATGATCACACCGCTGTCGTGTGAACCACACTGGTTCAACAAGTATTTGAAGGAAAACGTGTAATGCTTCATATTCACAAATGAATCGCCCACATGATATTAGATTCATCCAACATCCCCATAAACATATGTTCAACATTAAGTGCCTTTCATTTACAAACTCATTACTTATTATAATGGTCTTACTATTATATGGACTTAATGGAGGTTTTTTTTTTCTATCCATTTAATGGATGTCAATGGTGAGCCAATCTGTTGGTTTCCCATCACTCATCAAATGTCTTCTGTTGTGTCGTGAAAGAAAGTCCAACAGGTTTAGACGAGTAAATGATGACCATTTGTGAAGGAACTATAACTTGAAGATAGTTGATATTTGGCTAATTGGGGATGCTGAGGGTCCATTATTAAATTAAATTAAATTAAATTAAATTTGATTCAATTAAAAATAATGAATTTAAATGACAAATATTTAATTAAATTTAAAGGCAACTCTGGAGTAATAGCCGGGTTCCTAAAGTAAAAACTTGAATAAGTCACACTTTGGCTGACTTTAAATGGCTTAAAATAAAATAAAATAAAATAAAATAAAATAAAATAAAATAAAATAAAATAAAATAAAATAAAATAAAATAAAATAAAATAAAATAAAATAAAATAAAATAATAAAAATAATAAAACGGCTTCAGCATCTAATAAAATAAAATAAATTAAACAAATAAATAAATAAACAATAAATAAATAAATAGGCTTCAGCATCCAATAAAATAAAATAAAATATTAAATAAATTAAATAAATAAATAAATAAATAAAATGGCTTCAGCATCCAATAAAATAAAATAAAATAAATAAACAAATAAATAAATAAAATAAAACGGCTTCAGCATCCAATAAAATAAAATAAAACAAATAAATAAACAATAAATGAATAAATAAAACGGCTTCAGCATCCAATAAAATAAAATAAAATAAAAATAAATAACAAATAAATAAAATAAAATGGTTTCAGCATCCAATAAAATAAAATAAAAATAAATAAACAAATAACTAAATAAATAAATAAAACAGCTTCAGCATCCAATAAATAAAATAAAATAAACAAATAAATAAACAATAAATAAATAAAATGGCTTCAGCATCCAATAAAATAAAATAAAAACAAATTATTCATTAATTAATTAATAATTAAATAAAAATAAAACGGCTTCAGCATCCAATAAAATAATAAAATAAATAAACAAATAAATAAATAAATAAATAAAATAAAACGGCTTCAGCATCCAATAAAATAAAATAAACAAATAAATAAACAATAAATAAATAAATAAATAAAACGGCTTCAGCATCCAATAAAATAAAATTAAATAAAATAAATAAACAAATAAATAAATAAATAAATAAATAAAATAAAACGGCTTCAGCATCCAATAAAATAAAATAAACAAATAAATAAACAATAAATAAATAAATAAATAAAACGGCTTCAGCATCCAATAAAATAAAATTAAAATAAATAAACAAATAAATAAATAAAATAAAATGGCTTCAGCATCCAATAAAAAAAAATATATATATTAATGAATTAATAATTAAATAAAAATAAAACGGCTTCAGCATCCAATAAAATAAAATAAAATATAAAATAAAGCTATTTTATAGTATTTCATTTTAAATTAATTTAATATCCAATTATGTTAAATGTAAAGGAGATTAATTCGAGTAATTAGAGATTAACTGACAGGCATAACATCTCCAACAATGTTCTCCTGATCTAGTCTAGATGATCTGCATTATTTTAGTTGATTTAGTCTGCATTAACAACCTTATTTAGGTGGATGTATAAAGTGCATGTTTAAGCAATGGCTTCTTCAAGGCGAAGGCTTCTGAATGTGAACAGATGGAGGGGGAACGCGAGCGGTTTGACTCCTGCTGGAATGTGTGAACTTCAGTCTCTAAGCGAAAGATTCCCGACAAACTCGAAGCGACTCCGACAGATAATGCATGTGTGGAGTCGAGGGAACGGTGCGAACCGCAAGTCCAGTCCGAAAGTCTGAGGGACTCTTTGATGTGTGCTGAGAAACCTCCCTTGCTGAGAGAAGCGGGGGAAAAGAGGAAAAGAAAAGATGGTGAACGACAGCTTGGCCACGGACTCGAGCCGAGACCTCGAGCAGAAAACAGTCATGAACCGCTGGCGTCCGCCTCAGCGCTTCTCGGAAGAGAGAGCAACTTGTGAAACGCTAAACAACACTTTGGGCGTTTTGGCGAGCGCAGCAAATTACTGTGAAGAGTCGGTGCTAATGAAGGTTTTACCACAACACTTCTGATTTAACAGCACCGTTAAACACTGACAAACAAGCACTTGGCCGATTAAAGCCTGAGCTTGTGTGACTGAACTCCGCAGATGTTATACAGTTAACAGCGAGCAAATCTGCACTACCGCTCAAAATACTGGCATAATTACTGTTTTATGTTTTTCAAAGAGTCTCCGATGCTGCATTTATTTGATCAAAAATACAGTAAAATTGTGAAATATTTTTATAATGTAAATCATCTGTTTTCTATGTGAATATACAGTAAAGTGTAATTTATATCCTGTGATCAAAGCATCATTACTCCAGTCTTCAGTGTCACATGACCCTTCACAAATCACTCTAATAATCAACAAACATTTATGATTATTATCAATGTTCAAAACAGTCGTGCTGATTCAGATATTTGTGGAAACTGATCCATATTATTTTTCAGGATTCTCTTTGATGAATAAGACCAGCAAATATATTTATATTCCAAATATGATAAATGTCTTTAACGTAACTTTTGATCAATTTAATGCATCTTTGCTTAATAAAAGTATTCAATTCTTTTTTTTTATTAATATTCAACATTGATAATAATCATAAATGTTTCTTGAGCATCAAATCCTCATATTAGAGTGATTTCTGGAGGGTCATGTGACACTGAAGACTGGAGTAATGATGATAAATTCAGCTTTGATCACAGGAATAAATTACACTTTATTATATATTCACATAGAAAATAGTTATTTTACATTGTAAAAATATTTCACAATTTTACTGCATTTTTGTTCAAATAAATGCAGCCTCGGTGAGCAAGAAAGACGTCTTTAAAAAATAATCATAATTGCAAACCAAACTAATCCGTCACACACGTCACTAAACTAAAACTACACATCATCATCATCATCATCATCATCATCACCACTCATGAGACGAGTGATAATCATTAGTGTTTGGTTGAGTGTGATTGGGTTGTGAGTCTGAGGGGAAACAGCCTCGGGGTTTTTACAGTTGTAAGCACTTACAGGCAATTATATTCTTGGCCTCGTTTAACCGAACGTGCAGCTCGCCTTCCCCATTCCTCCTCATTTACGGCTCTAATTGGAAAAACATTTTCATCTACATGGAAAAGCTCGGTCCTCTGGCAGACAATAGTTACGAGCCGGTCGCAGAAGCCGTAAAAAACCCAGACAGAAGTCGTCTGACGGCGTGGTGCTTTCCCCATATATGCCCCCGAGACCCAGAAAACTCTCATGGATTTAGTATTTTCTCGTGTCATTACATTGCTTAGAGCATAGGGGAAAATATATTTATATATAATTTTTGGGGAAAAAAGTTGTCCCCTCCCCAGTTGAGGACCAGGACTCAATTTTTAAACAATAAAAAGACATGAATAGGAAAATGAATAGGCAAAAACAATGTTTTTTTTTTTTTTTTAAATCAATCAAAATTATGTTTTACGATTTTATATACCCAACTTTGTAAAAAGATGATTTTTTTTAGAACTATATTATGAAAGATATAATAGAATGATTTGATATATCATTTTGCAATATGTGTGTAAAATGGCCATAAGTATGTTTTCCCATTTATACAATATATATCTATACATATTACATACATTTCTTGTGTGTGTGTGTTCATACATTCTATACATATTAATATATCTATGCATATTAATGTGTTCTTGGGGCAACATGTAATGAAAATAGAAGCACATTAGGGGGAGAAGTAATTGGCAATATTGTCATAATAATATCTAATATTTCATAGGGATTGAAATATAATTTCTTTCCCTATTCGGTTGTTGTGTCTCCCGAAATGCCTGATAAACGTGTCCTACAGTGTACAAATTGATGTCTTGTTTCATTACAGGAAGTCATTTTTGATTTGATTTGAAACCAGATAACAATTTCCTGAGATGTTTATTTATGACAAACAATTAAAAAATGAGTCAGATTTAAATTATAATTATAAAATATAGGGCTGTGAAACGATTAATCGCGATTAATCACATCCAATAATTATTTTGTATATATAAATACACACTTATGTATGTATATATTTAATAAAAATGTGTTATTAATATATCAAATATTTATATTTATGTATAATATAAATATATATACATATTCATACTAAATTCATTGTCAGTACTTTTTGTTATTGTGAAACTTCCAAACTTTTGGCATCTCTGAAAAGCCTTGAATCTGCTCTTTCCTGGACATTCATGATGTATGATATGATAAATATGATGTCCAAATATTATAATGTCCTGGGTGCCAGGAGGACATGACTGCAATAATATTACACAATATAACTCAATGCAACTCAATATAACACACAATTTTGAAAGTCAACTTAAAATAAGAAAGCATAAAAAAAGCTTAAAAATATTAAATTCAGTGTCATATTAAATTCAAAAGATCATGTGTAATAATGTGTTACCAAACAAAAGTAAATAGCAGTAACATTTTTTCCAGTGTGGAGGTGTGTAGGAAAAGGCGTGTGTGTGTGTGTGTGTGTGTGTGTGTGCACTGACCGCTCCCAGCATGATGCGGACGATGAGCCAGCGAAAGGTCCAGATGCTGATCCGTGAAGGCGGGCAGAGACGAGGCATCTGGGACAAACTCCACAGCGGACACAAGAAGATCCCGAGGAAACCGGTTTCCAGAAGCTGGCTTTCCCACCCTGAACACACACACACACACACACACAATAATGCTACACAAGATTCCTATGCCATGTTATTAAGAAAGATTCCGCCGTGATGCCATGTTAGCAAGAGCTGCTTATGAAATCTGAAAAAATCCCAAAATCGAATAAATCTGATATTCCAAGATTTCAGTTATGAGATTATGACATCGATTTTTTTATCATTGATTTTTTTTTATCATAAGATTTGTTTAAAAACTACTGTTCATTTATTTGTTTGTTTTTTCAGTAAAAAGTAAATCTGCAACAATTACAGTTATTATCGTTCACTCTTAGAAGAAAAGGTTCTATCAGCGCTACATATTTGGAACCCCTAAAAGGTTCTATACACTCTTAAAAAAGGGTTCCTCTGGGTTCTATAGAACCCTGGGGTTCCATACTTGGCCAATAGAACCTTTTACCAAAAAACGTATACAATGGTTCTATATTGAACCATTTTTGGAGTTCCATATGAAGCGGGGGATGGAACCATTTCTGGTACTAAATAGAACCATTTCTTCTAAGAGTGACTAAAACCATTTAAACATTTTCACTTCGACACACACACACACCAGCCACCAAAAAAATACTGACCCGCCAAAGCCTTATTGCTCAGTTATTATGATTTATGAATGATTTATGATGATTGCGGCGCTTGTGACAGGGTTAACTACAGGAAGCCAAACACACACCAGGAGGCGATATTTTAAGTTTATGTTTATAAAATGTTTATAAAAATATCTGTGGGGTATTTTGAGCTAAAACGTCACCTTAGTAAATGTAAACTTCGTATTAGTAAATGTTGAAATGAATATGAACTAAGATTAATAAATGCTGTAGAAGTATTGTTCATTCTTAGTTCATGTAAAGTGTTAGCGAATGATCAAACCATGTGTGTTTCTGCTGTTTTAAAGAGTTAAATGACTCTCATCTAAACTTCTCCCTAGAGAACCAATTCATGCTAAATCGTCAGAGAATGAGAGAAGTGTTTATAAAAGTGTTTATAAAACAGAGGTTTCGTCTAGAAATGTTCACAATGTTTCTAGGCGGAGTTTATGGCACAAATGCATCAACAGATTTTGGAGATGCTCACATGAGTCTCTCCACAGAGAAGATGAGCGACAGAACCGCTCCGGTCTCTCCACACTATTTTTACACCCCCTAATCAGATTTCAAGGAAGTTTTTTGGGGTTTTGGGAGTAAATAATTCATTACATCTGCAGCGCCGCTGATTGGATTTTGAGTCTTGGGATGAGAACAGAAGATTCTGCATATTTGAGATGTTCTCTTTAAACTTAATTCAGTTTACTCCTAACTGGACTCAACAGGAGTTATGAGACCTTTTTTTATTTTTTGCATGGCACTCCTATCCAAATAAAATTAAAAGTTTATCACTCACACTAAAGTTACTGTTCATAAAAATGTGACAAAATGAAACGATGAGCTGTAAACACGATACGATCTGACATTCTCTTAGCCAGTGATACCATACCTCAAAAAAATGCTGCAATTTATGGAAACTTGTTTCCGGCACAGAATAAGTATTTTTTTTTACATATTTTTATCTCACAATTGCAATCTCACAATTCTGTCTTTATTTCTCAGAATTGCACGATATAAAGTCAGAATTCCAGGAAAAAAAGTCGCAATTGTGACATAAAAACATAATAAAAAATAAAAAAGGTAATTGCGACTTTATATCTCGCAATTCTGACTTTATATATAAACATGCAGTTTTGAGAAATAATGTCAAAGTTGTCAAAATTGTAAGATATAAAGTCGCAATTGTGTGTTATAACGTCAGAATTGTGAGATATAAAGTTGCAATTGTGACATTTTTCCTCCGAATTGCGACTTTATATCAAGCAATTCTGACTTTATATCTCACAATTGCGTGAAATAAAGTCATAATTGCGAGATATAAAGTCAGAATTGCGAGATATAAAGTCAGAATTGCGAGATATAAAGTCATAATTGCGATATAAAGTCAGAATTGCGAGATATAAAGTCAGAATCGTGTGATATAAAGTCAAAATTGAGAGATATAGTCAGAATCGTGTGATATGAAGTCAGAATTGTGGTATAAAGTCAGAATTGTGAGATATAAAGTCAGAATTGTGAGATATAAAGTCAGAATTGCGAGATATAAAGTCAGAATTGCGAGATATAAAGTCAGAATTACGAGATATAAAGTCAGAATCGTGTGTTATAAACATGCACTTTTGAGAAATAAAGTCATAATTGTGAAATACAAACTCAGAATTGTGATATAAAGTCATAATTGTGAGATATAAAGTCAGAATTGTGATATATAAACATGCACTTTTGAGATATAAAGTCATAATTGTGAGATACAAAGTCAGAATTGTGATATAAAGTCAGAATTGTGATATATAAACATGCACTTTTGAGATATAAAGTCAGAATTGTGATATAAAGTCAGAACTGTGTCATTTTTCCTCAGAAATGCAAGTTTACATCTTGCAAAAACATCTTGTATGATCGCTGATGCATCAATTAATATTGATCAATTGACCATATTGATGCAGTGTGACAGCCCTGGTATGACTACTACTAAAAACGATTTACAGTATAATCATCTGAAGTGCATTACAGTGGCATCGCACAGTTACATGCACTTGGATTGATCCCTAAAATCAGGAACAGCTTTAAATGACAAAACTGGAGTATAAAACACAAGAAATATTCAAATATAAATCAAAAAACATGTTCTTGTCTTCCATTCAACAATGGATCTAAATGAAAACCTGACTGGCCAACTGAGCCCATTTGTGGCTTTCTTGTTTATCTGGGGAATTTGGATTTTGCTGGGATGGAAGAGTTGGAGGGGCCGCTCACAGATGTGGTTAGTGGGATGAGGTAAAACACTGGGGTAACAGTTCAGATGACTCCGCTTCGAAGCCTCAATCGGTCACACGTGTGCGGATCCCAAATATAAACTCTAAACACAGAAGGGAACTCTGGGAGAAGAGGCTCTGGTTTACTCCTGACTTCCAATCATTCATGAAAACTCACATCCACGTGTTCTAGGAGGACTTCGCTATAGAAATCAAAGAGTGTGTGTGAGGGATGTTTACTCACCAAAAGAGTACCTGGAGGGAGGGAGGAAAGGGGAAATTTATGAGATTAAAGTATGGGAGCCTATTTTCATCACATTTAACACAAAAAAACACACTTTGATAAATCATAACTCATGAGTCATTATTACGAAATAAAAGTCTAAATTATGACAAAGTCTTTAATTATGAGAGTAGATTTTTGGTTATGATTACTAATAGTTTTGGCTTTTTTTGAGTGAGTGAGTGAGTCAGTGAGTGAGTGAGCGAGTCAGTGAGTGAGTAAGTGAGTGAGTCAGTGAGTCAGTCAGTCAGTGAGTGAGTGAGCGAGTCAGTGAGTGAGTAAGTGAGTGAGTCAGTGAGTCAGTCAGTCAGTGAGTGAGTGAGCGAGTCAGTGAGTGAGTGAGTGAGTGAGTCAGTGAGCCAGTGAGTGAGTCAGTGAGTGAGTGAGTGAGTGAGTGAGTCAGTGAGTGAGTGAGTGAGCGAGTCAGTGAGCTAGTGAGTGAATCAGTGAGTGAGTGAGTGAGTGAGTCAGTGAGTGAGTGAGTGAGTGAGTCAGTGAGTCAGTGAGTGAGTGAGTCAGTGAGTCAGTGAGTCAGTGAGTAAGTGAGTCAGTGAGTCAGTGAATGAGTAAGTGAGTGAGTGAGTGAGTCAGTCAGTCAGTGAGTGAGCGAGCGAGCGAGTCAGTGAGCTAGTGAGTGAGTGAGTGAGTCAGTGAGTGAGTGAGTGAGTCAGTGAGTGAGTGAGTCAGTGAGTGAGTGAGTCAGTGAGTGAGTGAGTGAGTCAGTGAGTCAGTGAATGAGTGAGTGAGTCAGTGAGTGAGTGAGTGAGTGAGTGAGTCAGTGAGTGAGTGAGTGAGTGAGTAAGTGAGTGTGTGAGTTAGTGAGTGAGTCAGTGAGTGAGTGAGTGAGTGAGTGAGGGGGGGGTGTGTGAGTGTGAGAGTGAGTGAGTGAGTGTGTGTGTGAGTGAGTGTGTGAGTGAGGGGGGTGTGTGAGTGTGTGAGTGAGTGAGTGAGTGAGTGAGTGAGTGAGTGAGTGTGAGTGAGTGAGTGAGTGAGTGAGTGAGTGATTGAGTGATTGAGTGAGAGTGTGAGTGAGTACGTTCAGGTGTGTGTGTGTGTGTGTGTGTGTGTGTGAGTGAGTGAGTGAGTGAGTGAGTGAGTGAGTGTGAGTGAGTGTGAGTGAGTGAGTGAGTGATTGAGTGATTGAGTGAGAGTGTGAGTGAGTACGTTCAGGTGTGTGTGTGTGTGTGTGTGTGTGTGAGTGAGTGAGTGAGTACGTTGGTGTATGTGTGTGTGTGTGTGAGAGTGAGTGAGGGGGGTGTGTGAGTGTGTGTGTGAGTGAGTGAGTGAGTGAGTGTGTGTGTGTGTGTGTGTGTGTGTGTGTGTGAGTGTGCTCACCAAAGCTGTCCAACATTCACAATAGAATGGTACAGGATCCACAGTGTTCCCATAATGATCATATTGGCACTTCCCATGAACAGGACGAACCCTGAAAGTGCCATTCCTGCCAGAGCGATGCCATCCAGGTTGGCATCCATGTCAGTCCAGTCCATGAGCCAGAGGACTGAGGGAGTGTATGCCAGGGCCGCGGCGCCAATCTTGCCCCCCACATATCGCTTGACACTCCTCAGGTAATCCTTGCAGGGCATCAGGCCTTTTTCTCCAATCAGCTGTTTGTTCTGGTTGTAAGCCACAGTGAAAGCAACCACTAGAAAGCATATGATTTATTAAACTTTAAACTTATATCCAGTGTTGGGGAAAGTTACTTTGAAAAGTAATGCATTATAATACTGTGTTACTCCCTTAAAAAGAAACTAATTGCGTTTCTTAGGTAGTTTTTCAACGTTATGCATTACATTACTTTTGCGTTACATTTTTATTACAAAAAAAGTTATATTTTTGGGGCAAATGTAAAGACCCTTTCACACCAAAAGTGAAATAATAAGCAGGCTGAAGGAAATATACAGCTGTGTTGCTGTTCTGGATAACAGAAGAATAAATTTAACACTTACTTTACCAAAAAAAAAAAAATGGTTTAACTGAATCATCGAAGGTCAGAAGCAAGTACATTGGTCAATAATGTTAGATTAAACTGCCTTTTACTGATTATATTCATTTTGAGAAATATTGAATCTTTTTTATGTGCAAGTGAGATGAGTGAATGCACTCATGTTTAGTCTAGAACTACAATAACCATCATGTTTACACACACAACGCCTGTGCACTTCGATTTGTCTCAACATGGGGACAGGAGACCTGTCAGTCAATGAATGGGAAAACAAAGTATCTTGTGTTACTTATTTGAAAAAGTAACTCTAAAAAGTAATCTGATACCGTAACTCAGGTTACTTGTAATGAGTTACACACAACACTGCTGCTTATATCTACTGTACAGATCAGTAATTGTAACTAAAGCCTAGTTCACACTACGTGATTTTAAGCCCGATTTAAGCCCGATTTGCAAATCGTTGAGTCGCCGACAAGTCAGGGTGTTATCGCGTGCAAATCGCGGGCGATTAGCGGACGATTAACGCTCGCCAATCCGTTAGTGTGAAAGAGCCAACAACGCACCAAAGACAGCTCGCAGACACCTCGCAGACAGGTCACCGAGCTCAGAAAAATATCTAGCATGCTAGATATCTCGAGCACTCGCGCGACTCAATCTCAGTGATGTCATGAGTACAGCCAATCATAGCAACGCATGGGTTGAGGACACCAGGTAAATCTTACTTTTTCTTTTCTTTTTTTGCATTTTTTTTTCTCAGAGCAGATCGTCGAGCAAACAGTGTGCAGCACTAGTTTCTGTCTGACGTCCATATTCGTGTGTTGTGTTCTTCTCTGCAGTTTCACGTCATTTCTGGTTCGTTTTATTGCGTGGTTTTTCGTGACAAAACATGGTTTCTAGACCAGATAGAATCGTGTTGTTGTCAACTCGTTATTTGTTTGATTATTTTCAGGATTTAGACCGTACTATAGTACTGAAACGGCTCTCATTGAGTCACAAATGATATGCTCTTATCATCCGATCGTGGTTGTATCTCTATGTAGTGCGTTGTCAACTCGTGTAGTGAGTTACCTCCTGTTGTGGATCAATCACGTTGTGTTGTGTGGTGTGAACAGCTAAACAACTTGAACACTCATGATTTCACTGAGAGCAAGTCATTTAGTGTGAACTGCACAGTTCAGTCCGACATTTTAAAATCATGTAGTGTGAACTAGGCTTAAGTGATGTAACTAATTGTGTCTGGTCTCCTAGCGACCGCCACCTGTCAGACTCACAGTAGATGAAAGCAATGGCTCGCAGGAGCGCGATGCGCGTGAGCCAGTAGGTCCCGGTCTGTATCGATACACACACTGTCTTCTCATATTTGTTAGCGTCTTCGTCTTGCGCTGTCTCGCTGCATCTGTCGTGTGAAAGACTGTCTGAAACGAGCGGGTTTCCACGTCGCTTTCTTAGGAAACTTTCGGTGTTCTCAGGGTTCTCACAGGAGGACGCCATGTTTTCGAAATGTTCTGCGCATGCGTAAGAAATCACGCGCAGTGGACTAGCCAATCAGAGGACAATGCGCCTCTGCCAACACAACCTTCAGACTGAGCTTCTATAAAGTTTGTTTAGGTTGTTCTACTCGACTTGGTAAATAAATATTTAAATAAAAACTGTTCACCGTGTGACAAGAGATATACTATTACATAGTTCAGATGGTAAAATCCAATGTTTTATATCTAAAATTTAGTTTAGAAAATTGTTTATATAAGTACAAAGTGTTAATAAAATAAAAAGTTCTAATAAAGTTTATAAAATTGTTTTAAAAAGTTCTAAATTGATGTTTATAACACTGCCGATTAATCACATCCAACTTAAGTGTGTGTGTGTGTGTGTGTGAGCACAAACTGGAGTGTATTGGCCACAAAAGCTATTGTACATTAAATTTCGACCCTTATTGCCCAAAAGAAAAAAAAAGTTTTTTAATATAGCCTATGTTGACCTTTATCGGGGCATGTTGTCACACAATGTGGGATTGTCATAAAATAAATATGCCATTACATTAAACTTTACAGTGCAACTTACTAAATATGTTGTTGAGATAAATATATTGTACTTTGAGTTCAAATCTTCCTTATTTGTTTTTTTATTGTGTTCACTTGTTTACACAACAGCTATCAAATCAAAATAAAAATTATTTGTGCAGTGAATTATGGAAAAACATAGTTTATATTTATATTTTCACAATATATTTTGTGTTTTATTCGAGTTAGGTTTATTAAGTTAGCCTGCAAGTGTTTTCATAAAATACAGTGGGCGAAAATTGGATTATTCAGGGAACCCATGAGCAGTTATGGCATTACGGTGTAATTTGTTAGTCAATTATGTTCAATTAACTGAAAAAGTTGCTGATGCACTGCACAGACCAATTGGAGAAGTTGCGCAAAAGCTTCTCCACCAATGAGAGGAGAGAAGGAGGAGCGCGAGAGTCCACAAGCCTCACAAAAACTTCTCCCTCGCACACCAACAAGTTGTGAAATATTGCCAATTCCTCCGCCAGTGTTGATCGACGACGCAGATTCAAGAAACCACGAAATCAACAGGTTTATCTGGGATAACTGACGCGGGCGCGCGCTGCGCGTTAAGTTACGCTCGTGTCATCGCGCATCTTCAGGACAGAGAGGATTTTTAAAAATGTCAAAGGAGCCGGATAAAACTAGTTCTGGGACGAAAAGCTCTTTTATTGGAGATGCAGACTCTGATTCCCCGTCTTCTCCATCCGTGTCGGATGAACGAGGCGCGCGAACCGGCACCGGCGAGCGCGCGGACAGCGAGGAAGACGCGCGTTTCCCACCCTGCATCCGAGATGCCGTGTCGCAGGTCCTCAAAGGCTACGACTGGTCCCTGGTGCCGATGCCGATGCAGGGAATCAGGTCTCTAAAGGACAAGCCGCACGTGAAGAGACCCATGAACGCGTTTATGGTGTGGGCGCAGGCGGCGCGCAGGAAGCTCGCGGATCAGTACCCGCATCTGCACAACGCCGAGCTCAGCAAGACCCTGGGCAAGCTATGGAGGTTCGTGCACGGGTCACATTTTATATTACATATGCTTATTATGAAGGCCTATTAGTCAAAGAGTTATTAAACGACAGCATGACATGCACTCCTTAAAATACTTGTAACTATCCTCAATGGTAATAGCTAAATTAAGATAGATAGATAGATAGATAGATAGATAGATAGATAGATAGATAGATAGATAGATAGATAGATAGGTAGATAGATAGATAGATAGATAGATAGATAGATAGATAGATAGGTAGATAGATAGATAGATAGATAGATAGATAGATAGATAGATAGATAGATTTGTTTCCACCAGATGCGTACATAACACAAACACACAAAAAATGGTAAAAACAATCAAAAATAATCACTGACATCACAAAAAAACAACAACAAAGAGAATATACATGACCTATCAATGCCGATTCAGACATGCAACTAACCCTGAACCAACCTCCAATCCTAACCCTATAGAAACGTATTTGTACAGTGTAACATAGACACCTTAAAATAAACTGTAACCCTAATTTCTTATACAGGACCAGATATTTAAGAAGAAGAGTTGCAAGCAACAATTCAGGATACAGAACAGAACTATGTAATTTGTCATCAGCAACACATCAAAGGTTACTGGTAACACTTTATTTTAAAGTGACGTAATTACACACAGACTATAATAACACGAAATGATGCATAATCACAAGTAACTAACCCTAACTCAATAGTATTAGTAAGTACATGTTGTTAATTAATATTAAGTTAGCACTTGCACTTTATTTTAAGGTGTCTGTGTTAAGTACCGAATAATAATAATTAACTACGTGAACTTACTATGGGTTAGGGTTAAGAAAAGGGGTTAGTTGCATGTAATTATGCATCATTTATAGTCATTACAATGTAATGTGTAACAAGGACACTGGGAAGCGTCACTGAAAGTCTAATCGAATGTGTACTAGTAGTCAGTGTTGGGGAAAAGTGTTCGTAGCTGCTGGTGAAACTCACATCGTTTAAAGGAATAAATGTGAAGCTGCAGGTAAACCATCTGTTTTTTAGCTGGATCAAGAACATCTGCACCAGCTTAGAAACCAGCTAACATCGCAATCCGGACCTTTGGTTTCTGAAACGCTGAATTGCTTTAATATTGAACTCTTTTCCCCGGATTGTCCAGGCTGCTCTCCGAGAGCGAGAAGAGGCCGTTTGTGGAAGAGGCCGAGAGACTGCGAGTCCAGCACAAGAAAGACTATCCGGATTACAAGTACCAGCCTCGGAGACGGAAGAGCCTGAAGCCGGGTCAGGGTGAACTGGACCCGGGAGCCGAGAAGGATCACATGTACAAGATGGAAGCGGGAGTGAGAGGGATGCACAGTCATGGTGGTGAGTTATGCCAAATCTACTGACCTGGGATTGGGTTGTACCATTTAATATAAATATATAACTAAATGTAACTGTTGGGATCAATACTAATTTTGGTAACACTTTAACATATGTTACATGTACTATAGTAATAACTATAAATTATGCATAATTACATGCAATTTATCCTAACCCTATAGTAAGTACATGTACTTTTACAGTGTACAGTGAACCGATATTTTTTGATTGCAGATGCCGATATCTATAAGAGCTCATGCCCTATTTAAAGCCGATATATACCTGTGAATGTTGTGTTTTTACTCGCTTTAACCCATAAAAATGTATTTTGTTGGTATAAATGTATGTATTTAGGTTTGTTTTAGATTTTTAACTTAAAAATGTCCTGTTAATTTAGATATTTCTGATATCATGTTTTTGATTTTTAAACATTTGCTAAAATTGTATTTATTTATTTTTTGTAAATTAGAAATAAATACTTATATATTTAATATATAATTAGGTATAATATATAACACACAAAATATTACATTAATAATATATAGGCCTATATAAATAAAAATGATAATAATAAATCGGTCAAATTAATTTGTGATTTTGTAATCCTACTTAATTTTTTTTTTTTTAAAGTAAACATGAATGAATAAAAAGGAAGTAAACACTGTAACCAACAGTAATCCATCTACATTCACTGGGAAACTTTATATTATAATATAAACTTTATATTATAATATTTTCTAAGTTTAAATGTATAACAACGTAATTGTTTTTAATGGGTTAAATCAAGTAAAAGTAAAAATAGCTCTTAAAGGTAATAATTGCAGGTTACCACTTTTTAAAGTGAGTATATGAATATGAAATGCATATCAGTCAAAAAGAATGAATAAAAAAATGCCGGTCGACCGATATATCGGTCGACAACTATACCATATGCATGTTTATTTTTTTCAACTCCACCCGAAAAAAATGTATTTGATGTGTCCATTGACCTATACAATACAACATGCAAATTGGCCAAACATAATGATAAAAAAAGTTAAATATCGGCCGATATATCGGTCGACCACTATAGTATATGCATGTTGATTTTTCTCCAACTCCACCCGAAAAAACTTATTTGATCTTTCCATCCCAGTTGGAATCTCCCAAAATATAATTTAATATTGCTGAATTACCCTAATTTATACCAAAAAAGTAATAAAAAAACAGCTATTTAAGGTTACAGTTGCACATTAAAGCTTTTTACAGTTTATGACAAAAATACAACAGAATGATTAAAATAAATGCAAATATCGGCCGATATATCGGTCGACCACTATAGTATATGCATGTTGATTTTTTTCCAACTCCACTCGAAAAAACTTATTTGATGTTTCCATCCCAGTTGGAATCTCCCAAAATTTAATTTAATATTGCTGAATTACCCTAATTTATACCATAGAAATTAAGTTAAAAAAAACAGCTATTTAAGGTTACAGTTGCACATTAAAGATTTTTACAGTTTATGACAAAAATACAACAGAATCATTTAAAAAAAATGCCAAATATCGGCCGATATATCGGTAGACCACTATAGTATATGCATGTTGATTTTTTTCCAACTCCACCCGAAAAAAACTTATTTGATGTTTCCATCCCAGTTGGAATCTCCCAAAATATAATTTAATATTGCTGAATTACCCTAATTTATACCAAAGAAATTAAGTTAAAAAAAAACAGCTATTTAAGGTTACAGTTGCACATTAAAGCTTTTTACAGTTTATGACAAAAATACAACAGAAAAAAATTAAAACTTAAAAATTAAAGCTTAAATCACATTAAAGCTTTTTACAGTTTATGACAAAAATACAACAGAATCATTTAAAAAAAATGCCAAATATCGGCCGATATATCGGTAGACCACTATAGTATATGCATGTTGATTTTTTTCCAACTCCACCCGAAAATACTTATTTGATCTTTCCATCCCAGTTGGAATCTCCCAAAATATAATTTAATATTGCTGAATTACCCTAATTTATAAAAAAAAAAAATTAAGTAAAAAAAAACAGCTATTTAAGGTTACAGTTGCACATTAAAGCTTTTTTCAGTTTATGACAAAAATACAACAGAATGATTAAAAAAATGTCAAATATCGGCCGATATATCGGTAGACCACTATAGTATATGCATGTTTATTTTTTTCCAACTCCACCCGAAAAAACTTATTTGATGTTTCCATCCCAGTTGGAATCTCTAAAAATGTAATTTAATATTGCTGAATTAACCTATACATAAATGTATGCCAATATCTTGCCGATATATCGGTCGACCACTATACTACTAACTCCACCCAAAATCACATTTTGTTATTTCCGGCCCAGTTCAAGCACACGGGCCTCCGACGCCTCCAACCACCCCGAAGTCGGATCAGCATCACAGCGCGAAGCGTGCGACGGAAAACGCACGGCAGAACATCGACTTCAGCAATCTGGACATTTCTGAGCTCAGCAGCGACGTCATCGGCAGCATGGGCCCGTTCGACGTGCGTGAGTTCGACCAGTACCTGCCGTTAAACGGCCCGTCCGAGAACAACGCTTTCAGCGTGTCCTATCACCATCACGGCACCGTCCCGGCGTGGAACAAGCCGTCCGGGTCACCGTCCACATCTTCACATAACCATCAACGACCGCTCATTAAAACTGAACAATTGAGTCCTTCTCATTACGGAGAGTCTCACGGGTCGCCGACCCAATCTGAACTGAGTGACTGTCCCGACATGCAGAACTCAACGTACTTCACCACGTTTTCCGGGTATCCCGCTGGCATTTATCAGTATCCGTACTCCCATTTCTCCAGAAGGCCGTATGTGACTCCGGTTCTCAACAGTTTGTCCAGTCCATCTCATAGTCCCGGTGCAAACTGGGAGCAACCGGTTTACACGACTTTAACGCGGCCCTGATGCCATCGGGAGAATTACGGGACGATGCTCGGGACAATCCGTTTTTTGCTGATACTTTGCCACTTCATAGACTTTTCTGGTCATTTTTGACCTTTGACACTTCACAAAGGTCTCATTTGTTAACATTAGATAATGCATTAGCTAACATGAGCAGTATATATATGAAGAGTTCAGATGCAAAAGCCTCTAAATGCCATTTTAAATTTTCTTCTTTAATGATGATTTTTATCAAGCTTGTATATTTAAGTTCAGTGATTTCACTTAAATGGCAATGATAATTACCTATTAATTGTTATTTAAGTGAAATTACTGAACTTAAATATACAAGTTTGATAAAAATCATCATTAAAGAAGAAAATTTCAAATGGCATTTAGAGGCTTTTGCATCTGAACTCTTCATATATATATTAAAGCATTTAGTTAGTAAAATGCTCATTGTGTTAATGCAAATGTTAACAAATACAACTTTGGAGTTTAAAAATGTTTAAATCATCATTGACTAATGCTTTTTTTCATTTCATTCAGTTCATGTTAACTAATGTTAACAAATCCAATCTTATTGTACAGTTTCCTTACCATTTTGGGTTCACTTTTCAATATTGAACGTTTTTTTTGTTTTGTTTAAATGGTCTGGATAAAAGTGTTTTTGTTTGTTTGTTGGGAGTGAGATGCAATATGATTTCTGTTGCCAATATTCAATACGCTATTTAAATGCAATCATGGATTTTTGTTTTCTGCTAAATGCAATTAAAATGTAAAATGAATGAATGTGTAATTCTTTACTGTTGAGAAAGGCCCGTCAAGCTCGCAAGATGAGTCCGAAATGAAGCTACTATGTGAGTTTAATCCAAATATCGGAGAGATGCGTGTTTACAAAGCCAAGAAACAGCGAGGGAGAGCAGAAAAGAGAGACGGCTGATTCTGAACGACAGCGTCTCAAAGGGCTCTTTGTTTTCATTATAAAAGAGGCATTAATTAAGGGAGGGAACAAAACAAATACAAAGCAGAAAATCATTACCAATGCCGTTTCATGAAAGAAGAGCACAAGAACAGACGCTATTTGGATAAACAGCAACAAAAGCGGCAGAAATGCAAGAGAATAAGTCGTTCATGCAGTGGAAGCGAGCCAGTGATTTGAAGGCAGATGGGTGTGGGTGGACTTTCCTTTCACTACACTTTATTACATTGATGATCTCAGAAAGTGGAGAATGCAATTATAGTGTTGACATGTAGCACGCATCATTTAGTTCGCTGACATTATTGGGTCTTAAAACTGGACTACAATTTTCATTCCTAACACAATTATGGTGTATTACGTTAAGTTGTTATTGTATTTAGATTTTGGGGCACCGATTTTGCACAAAAATCATGTTCTTAAAGTCTGTAGTAAATTATTTTATCCTTTAAAACTCATCTTTGATCATCAAAATTGTAATAAAGCTTCAGGAGAATGAGGATCCATTTGCAGTTTTATTATAATCGTCGTTGTACAGTCAAGGTCAATCACCAGCAAACACAACAGTAGAGATAAGGCAACTCGTAATCCAGAAACAGGCATAAGATCAGGGCAGGCGGCAAACTCACATAAACCAGTCCAGTAGAGAATATAGTTCAGGGCAGGCAGCAAAGAATCAAGATGAGAATAAACAGTCCAAAAGTAATCCACGGGAAGACAAGACACAGGAAGAAACGCTCAGAGTTGATCACCAGGGTAGATACAAAACTTCACAATGAGAGTGAGTCTGAGAGCACCTTAAATAGTCCACTAATGAAAGTCAGGTGAGAGGTAATCAGTGCTGGGTATGTGGGAAATGTAGTTCAAATGGTTTTAATATTCAGGAGAGAGTTCCCTCTGGTGGTGAGCAGAAGGAACCGCGGGAGTCTCGTTTGTGACAGAGCCCCCCCCCTGCGAGCGGCTCCTGACGCGAAGAGGCGAACGACGCCGGGGTCTTCCCCGAGGTCGAGGGGCCGGTTTTTCCGGGTGCATCCTATGGAACTCAGTCATGAGTGTGGGGTCGAGTATGTCCTCTGCATTAACCCAGGATCGCTCCTCTGGTCCGTACCCCTCCCAATCCACCAGATATTGAAGGAGTCTGCCCCGGCGTCTGGAATCAAGTAGATCTCGAACCTGATATGCCTCCTCGCCCTCCACCAAGATGGGTAAGGGGCCCTGGTCACCGATCTGCTTCTCCTGCTCCTCCTCCTCCGCTCTCGGACCACCAGCGGGTTTAAGAAGTGATGTATGAAAAGTGGGAGAGATACGATAATTAGAGGGTAATGCCAAACGAAAAGAAACTGGTGTAATCTGTTTAACAATTTGGAAGGGACCCACATACCTGGGACTGAGTTTCTTGCAAGGAAATCTGAGGCGTAGGTCTCGAGTGGATAACCAGACCCATTGACCTGGAGTATATTCGGGGTTGGGGCGACGGTGACGATTGGCCTGCAACCTCTGTCTCCTGACAGCATGTAGCAAGTGGGTGTGAGCCTGATTCCAGATGTCTTCGCTTCTCTGGAGCCAGTCGTTGACTGAGGGTACCTCGGTAGGTTCCCCTGACCATGGAAATAGGGGAGGTTGGAAGCCCATTACACATTGGAATGGGGTTAGTCCGGTGGAGGGTTTCTGGAGGGAGTTCTGTGCATACTCAGCCCACATGAGGAATCGGCTCCAGTCTGCTTGGTTCTGATGACAATAGGATCTGAGGAACCGGGTGATCTCCTGATTGAGACGTTCTGTTTGACCATTCGATTGTGGGTGATATCCTGAAGTGAGGCTAACGTTGATGTTGAGTTGTTGGAAGAATGCTGACCATACTCTGGATGTGAATTGTGGCCCTCGATCCGACACAATGTCTTCAGGAAGGCCATAAAAGCGAAACACAAAGTTACACATGAGTTCAGCAGTCTCAAATGCTGTAGGCAACTTGGGAAGTGGAATTAAACGACAGGCCTTGGAGAAGCGATCTATGACCGTGAGTATTGTGGTATTCCCATTGGACTTGGGGAGATCGGTAATAAAGTCTAAGGCAAGATGGGACCATGGTCGGTGAGGAACTGGCAATGGTTGCAGTAGGCCAGATGGTAACTGTCTGAGATGTTTGCTTGTGTTGCAGATGACACATTCATTAATGAATTTTATTGTGTCTGCCCACAAGGTTGGCCACCAAAAGCTGTTCTGAAGCAGGTGAATAGTGGCAGAAATTCCAGGATGACCGGAGCTGAGTACGGAATGAACTTGGTGTAGCACTTTCTGACAAAGATCCTGAGGTACAAACAGTTTGTCGGGGGGCATTCGGGAGGAGGGGTCCTTTGTGAATTGGTCTGAGTAAGCTCTGTCATGATGTCCCACTGAACTGGGGCCACAATTAATGACTCTGGAAGAAGGGTTTCCTTGGACTTAATGGGACTCAAACCATCATGTTGGCGTGATAAGGCGTCTGCTTTGGTGTTCTTTGAACCGGGACGATAGGTAACAGTGAAGTCAAATCGTGTAAAGAAGAGAGCCCACCTTGCTTGTCGGGGATTCAGTCTTTTGGCAGATCGTAAGTATTCTAAATTCTTGTGGTCAGTCAGAATCACAAATGGATGTTTAGACCCCTCCAGCCAATGACGCCACTCCTCCATAGCGGCTTTCATGGCCAACAATTCCCGGTTTCCGACGTCATAGTTCTGTTCGGCTGAGTTAAGTTTGCGGGAATAATAGGCGCAAGGATAGAGCTTGGATGGGGATCCGTGCCGTTGAGAAAGGATGGCTCCAATACCCGTATTTGAAGCATCCACCTCAACTATAAACGGAAGTTCTGGATCAGGGTGGTGGAGAATGGGAGCAGATGTGAAACGTGACTTGAGTTCTGCGAAAGCCTCCTGTGCTGTAGTTGACCAGGTGAGGTGTGAAGAACTTCTCTTAGTCATAGAGGTTAAGGGAGATGCTACCGAGCTGAAGTTTCTGATGAAGCGTCGGTAGAAATTAGCAAATCCCAAAAAGCGTTGTAATTCCTTTAAAGTTGTTGGTAGAGGCCAGTCTAGAACGGCTTTGACCTTCTTTTCGTCCATGGCAACACCCTCCTGACTGATGATGTAGCCCAAAAATGACGTGGTAGTCTGGTGAAATTCACACTTCTCTGCTTTGGCGTATAACTGATGATCAATGAGTCGTTGCAATACTGTTCTTACGTGTTGCACATGTTCCTCGTAGGTGTTGGAGTAGATAAGAATATCATCGATGTAAACAATGACCCAACGATTAAGCATGTCCCGAAAGACGTCATTGATGAATGCCTGGAATACGGAAGGACTGTTGGACAGCCCGAAAGGCATAACCAAATATTCGTAGTGACCAGTGCTCGTAGAAAAGGCTGTCTTCCATTCATCACCGTCCCGGATGCGAATAAGATTATAGGCGTTGCGGAGGTCTAGTTTGGAGAAATACTTGGCATTGCGGAGTTGTTCTAGCGCAGCTGGTACTAGAGGGAGGGGATATCGAAACTTGACAGTGATGTCATTGAGACCCCGGTAGTCGATACAAGGGCGTAGGCCCCCATCTTTCTTCTTAACAAAGAAAAAGCCAGAAGCTGCAGGTGACGTGGATGCTCTGATGAACCCTTTTGAAAGTTCCTCCTCAATGTAGTTCTTCATGGCTTCTGATTCGGGTTGTGATAGGGGAAAAATTCGACCCTTAGGTGGTGTTGTCCCTGGTAAAAGTTCAATGGAACAGTCGTTTGAGCGGTGAGGAGGAAGTTCCATAGCCTTGGCTTTGCTAAAAGCCTTGACGAGGTCAGAATATTCAATGGGAAGAGTGGGGAAAAGAACAGGTTCGTCCTTTAGTGCAACGCTCTGAATGGAGAGTGAAGAGCTGCCATTTAAACAGTTGGAGTGACATGACGGGTCCCATTTTATGATTCGACCTTCCTTCCATGAAATGAGGGGATTATGTTGACGTAGCCAGGGGAGTCCAAGAATTACCGGGTTATGAGGTGATGTAATGATGTAGAAACGAATTATCTCAGTGTGAAGGGTCCCTGTTTGTAGTTGAAGGTCCACGGTGGTGTGTAGAACCCTTCCATCTCCGAGAGGCCGCCCATCTAGTGCTTCCACTGCCAATTGAGAGTTGCAAGAGATTAGTGGGAGTTTTAGTTGTTGAGCAAACTCATGAGACATAAAGTTCCCGGCTGCTCCCGAGTCTAACAGAGCTGCTGTAGAA